TGTCTTTGGACGGCGCCGGCTCACGGCCTCTAGAGCGAGATGAGCACGCAACCCTAGAGTCGGACACGACTGGCCCGTACGGGCAGGGGTACCTTTACCTTTACCTTTAAAAACAAACCTGTACTCAGGCCTTTGGATATCTATCCTTCTGCATTACTCTTCTGGACTTTGTTAACTCTGTTATTGGTTAGTTTTGTGGGTTTATTTTATGTATTTAATGATAATTTGTATATAATTTTTGTAACCCACCATGGGATTATTTAAGGAATTGGGGGCACTATATATACAAATAATAAATCAATAATAAAACAGTTTGCAGAGCTCCAATTCGTGAAAACAATTAGGTAGAAGTAAGCACTGCTTGTTTGCCTCAAGTAGTATGTTAGGGATATTCTTTGAGTCATCTAGAATCACAGGGTAGCCACCAAACAAATAATAACATATCATGCCTAAAAGAACTGGGGGGCAGGATAAGAATTGCAACATGATCAGTATCTCCCCTTTCTGTAAAAGCTGGGATATTTCATCATCCTCTAAGTGCTTTGATCCTCACCAAGCCTAGCAAACAAAAGGTTGTTTTTTTGGTGCATGTAAGTGTGCAATTTGCTCTTCTATTTCTATTAAATGTGGATGGCTAACCCTCAGTTTGGGGGCCTGATCTAACCCTCAGAGGTTTCTGCTGTCCCAATCAATAGTGTTCTGTATCTACGATTTCTGTTGCTTGCACAGTGGTTTGGCATATTGGAGCTGGGAAGCTCAGTGCTAATTGCAGACTGTCTAGGCTGCAGTGCTGTGCCCATTAATTTGGGAGTAAGGGCCATTGTTGAGTAGATGCATACAGGACAGTGTTGTTACTCCCTGTGGTTCAACCCCTCATGCTATGGAATGTCTGGAGGAGTCAATTTACATTCGATTGACAAAAGGGTTTCAAATCTGTGAGCTTGTGCAAAACGTACTATACATTCAGCCTCATCTGATTTTGTTTACTTTGAGCATCATGTGCAAAGGTTAGTGCAGCCAGCTGCCAATTAATCCCCAACCCACCCACCCACCCTGAAATTAAACTGAATAGAATCAGACCAGGGGATCTAGGGTACTCATTTGCACTGATAGAACTATAGCGTCAGGAATTGAGGATGGGAGATTAAAGCAGCGACTGTCTGGTGGGTGTATCTGCAGTGCTGGTGCCTGAGAATTCTGGAATGGAAACTGTATTGCATGCTGATGAAAAATGCTGTTCTCAGAAAAGCATACCCTTAGGCATGTTTTGTTTGAAAATATGTCATTATACTTCATGTAATTCCATACAGTATGGGAACAGTGACATTTACTGTATCTGCAGGCTGCAGCTCGAGTATTTCCTGTGCCTTACCCCCCTTTTTTAACAGTGATCAATCATTGCTCATTTCAGAAATTTCAAAGTATGAGCTCAGGAGTCTATGACACGAGCACTTAATGGTTCGACATGCACATCTGTCTCGAGCAATAAACTTTAGAAAGTCTTCTGGAAAGTTTTTGCTTATGTATGATCCATCCACTCCAAACATAAAAATATGTTGCTTGAGACATTTTTTTTAAAGGAGCTTAAAAGTAGACAACATGGAAAAACATTTTCCGTTGTGAATTGTAATAATGTGATGTTTAAATACTTCATAAATTCATAACAGTTAACCTTTCTTATGTAATCAGGAACTTCTAAAAATCTATGTCACTGATAGCGCAGTTAATAAATCTTTGAATTGACTTGTAAACATTAAACCAGAAAGCAGAATTGTTACTTTTTAAAAGATTCTGTTACGAACATTTTCTTGGTGCTTAATCAGGACTTCAGCCCTTTACAGCCAACACTTTTAGAATACTGTACCACAATACGAAAGAGAGAAATGAAAAATGACGCTTATAATAGTTTTAAATCAATCTCTCTCCCTTTTTCCAGTTCAGTAGTTTTAATCATTCTTCGAGTCATAAAAATGTTAGCTTGGAAGTAAGTTTCATCTGTGGCCAAGTAGCTATGGATTCTAACTTGGTGCTTAAATATCTGGCTGAAATGTATTTTACCTAATAAAAATTATTTGAATCACAATTGGTAACCCAGTCCATTTTTATTTAAGTAGCTGAGGGAAAACTGTGCATAACGATTTAATAGAACAGAATACTGCATGTTTTCCTTCTCACAGTGAAGTTAGAAAGACTCTTCACTGTTTTTCTGCTGCTGCTTCTTTGGTGATCACTTGTAGCCAAATAAGATTGTTTTCCATAAACACAGTTTTAACAGTGAGTCCGTAAGTGACTGTGGGGGCCAATTCTGGATCCGCACATCCTTCCACAGTGGGGACGTTGGTTTCCGGACGGGAGCTGATCACGGTGAGGGTTTGCCAAGCGTGCCTTCCTCTTAGCACGTTTCTCCCTTTCTTCCTGAGTTCAAGTGTCTTCAAAGCCCATGACACCTTTGGTAAAGGCTGTTCCCCAATTGGAGCGCTCGCAGGCCACTGTTTCCCACTTGTCAGCATTTATACTACATTTTTTTTAGATTTGCCTTGAGAAAGTCTTTAAACCTCTTTTGTTGACCACCAGCATTATGCTTTCCATTTTTAAGTTCGGAATAGAGTAGTTGCTTTGGAAGACGATAATCAGGCATCTGCACATGACCAGTCCAACGAAGCTGACGTTGAAGAAACATTGCTTCAACACTGGTCGTCTTTGCTTCTTCTGGTACACTGGCATTAGTTCACCTGTCTTCCCAAGTGATGTGTAAAATTTTTCAGAGACACTGTTGATGGAATATTTTGAGGAGTAATACTTTAAATATGAAGTGTGTCTGCATCCTGGAGCTCTGGTTTCCTGGAACATCTCCGGGCTCCCCTGTGACAGCTGCCCCATGGCTCAACCCCATGTCCTGATAGGTGTTTTGTTAACTTTAATTCTTTGGAATAGTATAAACAAGTCTAGCGACGGAGGGGCAGGACTTACAGGCTGGGATGTTCATTTGCTTGTAAAGGCGGGCTCCTTACCTCCCCTGTTATGTGTCATTAGGTAATTCCTCTTGTTCTCAACTTCAGATACCAACTGTTATAAATTGGGAATAATGGCGATCCACCTCAGAGGCTTGTTGAGAGGGCAAACACAGAGTAGATGGTAAAGCACCTTTCCAGTTGAATTGCTATATAAAATAAGCAGTAGCATCAGCACTCCAAACACAATAGAGATGATGAAGCTCCTTTCAGTATGAAATGTTATATGAAATTAGCTGTAGTCTCTTCAAATGCCAACCAGCAAAATCTTTGTGCTTATTGTAACTTCACCTCTTCCCCATTATGCTCCTTCTTGAATGTTCTTATCCCTGCGTCACTTTTTTCTTTCATTTTTCTTCCCCATATTTCTGCCTGCCCTCCTCTTAAATAATACTATGCTTGTACTACTCCCCCCCCCTTCTTTTTTGAAGAGGAAAGGTATGTCAGCCATGGGCCTGGATCAGGCATACATATCTGAGCTAAATAATCTTTTCTCCCTAGCATGCCCAGAAGTCTGAAAAAACCAGTATCTTAAATCACTGTTTAAAGTTAGGTTAGGATCCTGGCTTGTTCCAAACTTGGTAACCATAGTTTCCAGTTTAAATGTGCAAGGAAACTATAGATAATTTTCAAAAACCCCTGGCTTGTCGTAGCATACTGAGTGGAGAAATGCAGTGCAAGGATGGCCTACGTGGACCGTATCTCAGCTTATACGTCAGAGCTGAGCCTTAAAGTGGTTGTACGGTGGTTCCTCGGGTTAAGTACTTAATTCATTCCAGAGGTCCATTCTTAACCTGAAACTGTTCTTAACCTGAAGCACCACTTTAGCTAATGGGGCCTCCTGCTGCCGCCGTGCCGCTGGAGCCCGATTTCTGTTCTTATCCTGAAGCAAAGTTCTTAACCTGAAGCACTATTTCTGGGTTAGCGGAGTCTGTAACCTGAAGCGTATGTAACCCGAGGTACCACTGTACTGAGATCCTCTTACAAACACCACTAGGTTGGTGGCCTGGAGGTGACGTACAATAACACAGCCCCACCTGCAGACAGAGCTACCTTTTGCAGCTTAGCTCCTTGAGGTTTAGCTGGCATCCCTTCATTTTAGGAAAGGGGGCGGGGGAAGAAAGTAATCGCCTAGGCACCAGCCCTAATAATATCAGCATTTCTAGTAACTGAATTGCTGTCTTTCTGAACCCTTACATGTCAGGATTTGTATCCCATCCCAAGAAATTCTTAGACTCAGACATGGAGAGCTCAAGCCAAAATTACTTATTTGAATTGAAGGTGCTTTTTAACATAAAAAACCTGAAGATGAAGCATTAGAAATTTGAAGACTGTTAAATGTTGCATTGATTGCATTGGAGACAGACTTTTTATACTATAATAGTAAACAAATTGGTGGCGGCGAAGAAAATGCTACCAGAAGTGAAGTTGTTTTGTCGTGTATTTTTGGAAGCAACATTGTTAACAAGTTTTACTATCACAAACACACACACACACACACACACACACACATATATATATAATTTTGAAAGCTGCTGTTCTCTCAAGGTCTCTGAATGGTATAGGAAGACTCTGACATAAGAGCAGCATGCAGTATGTTAGCAATAGTAATGGGAGATTCAAATTCCTTTGTGGCCATGAGGAAGCTCACTTGCTTAGTTTTGGGTGTTGCTGTATTTCTGTTTAAGTCTACCTTGTATAGAATTATTGGGAGGACAAAGCAAGAGAAGTAAGTTTTAAACTGTTCTGTTTGGATAGAACAATAATAAAATACAGGGCTAAGTTCATAATCGGGAATTGCGTTTGGGGGATATGGAAGGCAGAGATAAAGTTACCATCCAGCTTAGTTTTTGAAAGTATGCAATTCAAGTTAAAGTTTGTAGATTATTTCCCTTTCCCACCAACCCCACTACGGATCTTTTGCTTAAAGTAGCCTTAATCGTTTGCTTTCCCTAGCCTTTGTTCAGCATCCTCTTTTGCTCCTTGTAGAACCATGTGTAGGTGTGCATAATGAAGACTAAAGGTCCTGCAAAGAAAATTGCCTCTTTTGCACAGGGTTCTGAAAGAAAAAGACTGAAAAAAGGTATGTTTCCAGAGAAATGTCTGCTACAACAACTCTTGACTAAAAACATTGTGAAAATGAGGGAGGAATTGTTATGATTTGAGTGGGCCTCTTCTTTGCGCCATTTCTATGCTCATGATTTATAGACATGCTGCATGGTTGCAAAGAATTCTAACCAGGTAGGAGCCACGACTAAATCCCAGTGGCTTGTGTTAGGCTACATATACAACTGCATCACATGCAGAAGAAAGCCTTCTTGATCAGATGCTGGCTTAAAGTACTAAAATCTCTCAGCCATGTGTGAAACTGTGCCAGAAAAGAGAAAATGTATGCATTAATACTACTTTATTTTCCTTGAGAAGGCCAAATAAAATATCCCAGCTGGTGTTCGTTGGCTTGTCATCAGCAATTTAGCCTTATTATATGTTGTTTTTTGTTTATTAAGTTATACAAAAGAAAACAGTGTTAAAAGTCTAAGAATTTCAGGTTTTTTCATAATGCTTTATGCATCACCAAGCAATGAAACTGATATTTATCTTTAGTTTTGGCAAGCTTCTTCATAGATCAGAGGTGGCAGTAAAAGTTTAAATAAGAATTCAATTCAGAGTTGCTGATTATATGTCTGGTGGCTGTCGCGCAATTGCATGTGGAGTGTCTAGGACCAACAGCAATGGGCTCATGACCTCCTGTTTGTCTTGTGGTGTGTGTTTTTTTGTGTGTATTCTTTTGAATGACTAGGGTCCGATATGGTTTCTCTTTGTGGAGCTATGCAGTTGCAGCAGCCCCACCAAAAGCACGATATATATAAAATAAAAGCTACAGTAGTAAGCATCTGTTTTCAGTGATATATTATTATTTACTTAGTCATCTGAAAGTTCACAAGAGTGCAAGGTCTGAAACATTAACACAACAGACTGTGTGACATAAGCATCACTATTAGATATTAGCGACTATTCTAAATCCTGTATTATTGCAATTGAGATACTAAAGCTTTTATTACAATATTTGTCTGAAGGCACACTAATGCGAGTAAGGCAAAGAGGATTAGAAGAGAATATTAAACTTTGAAATAATATTTTCCAGAATTAACTCCAAAGCAAGTATCTGATTAATCTTATATTGCATTATGAGCCACCAGCAACCTGTTGAACAGGAGAAGGACTAAAAGGTACAAAGAGAAAAGGAACTGGGCTGATATTTAAAATATTTGGTACAATTTATGTGTACTTAGCAGTTTTATTCTAGAGAACACCAGCACTAGCAGTGCAGTCCTCTATGTTTCTTTGGATGCAAGTCCCACTGTGTTCAGCGGGGCTAACTACCTAGTATGTGTGCTAGGAATGATGCTTAGATTTCTATAAGGGGAAAAATGAGGTGTCTTTGGCCACATGACCCTGAATCTTTTTTCCTTGAGCCTTAGTGGGGAAGTGAGGACACTCTGTACATGCACAGAGGTTATGAGCAGTTCCCTGGGGTTTTTTGGGAGGGCAGAGGGGGAGAAATCCCAGGGTTGCACCGTATTCAAAATTAAGTTTTCAACCAACCTTTGTTAGTGCAGACTTAAGAAACAGCAGTACTTGACTGTTTAAAATACTGTGAATTCAGGGCATACAGAGTTGAATCAACATTAACAGGTTCATATTAATAGGTTAAGGAAGAAGAGTGGTGATGCACAGGTCAAGGTAAGTTTCACTTCCGTTTTTTTGACCCATGCTCTGTTGTGAGCGAACAAACTTGCGCCACAGCATGGAACCCAAAAACACATGTCTTTTGGTCTGGTGGTTTGGCACAGCTAGAGCATGAGATCCAACATGGGACGTCTGAAATGGGGATCAGAAGCTGGGGTGCCTTCTGTCAATCCAGAATGTCCCACTTAAAAAGGAGCCCCTGGAATATATGCAAGTTCAATCCCTGCCATCTTCAGATAGGGCTGTTAATGAACCCTGGAGAGCTGTTTCCACCGGTCAGTGTAGACCACAGCTTTCCAAACTTTTCATGTTGGTGACACACGTTTTAGACATGCATCATTTAGTGACACAGTAATTCAGCTTTACTAGCAAACCGGACATACTAACCCAGACATAGGCAAACTCTGGCCCTCCAGATGTTTGGGACTACAATTCCCATCATCCCTGACCACTGGTCCTGTTAGCTAGAGATGATGGGAATTGTAGTCCCAAACATCTGGAGGGCTGGAGTTTGCCTGTGCCTGAACTAACTTCTTTTTTCCAGCCCCAGGAGGAGCGTGGGGAGTGTTTGCGCGACACAACTACACACTGAAGCCGACACACCAATGTGTCGCGGCACACAGTTTAGAAAGCTCTGTTGTAGACAGTAGCAAACTAGATAGAGCAATGGCCTGACTTGCTATACTGCAGCTTCTTATCTTCCTATTCCCATTTTACAGATGGGAAGTAGAGGTTGACAATAACTTGCCCAATGAGTGCTGTATATATGGCAGATATGTGTTCCATATCCTAACCCAACTCTCCATCACTGCACCACAGTAGTACTCTGTAAGCAAAATTTTTTATCTTCCATTTAGAAGACTTAGCAGAATTTGTTAGAATTAATGACTAAAACTTTGTAACTGCTGGTATGTAACTTTTGGAATGATGATTTCCAGCGCTCTCGTGGCTGGAAACCTTAGAAATTTTGTCTTGGAAAGCAATTTCGTTTGTTGCTCTCAGCTGCGGTTACCTCTGTTGATGCAGAGTAATGTAGCAAGAGCAAATATTTGTATAGCAAAGAAAAGAAACCTTTACAGTGGTGCCTCGCAAGACGAAATTAATTCGTTTTTTTCGTCTTGCGATGCACGATTTCCCATAGGAATGCATTGAAAATCAATTAATGCGTTCCTAGGGAAACCGCCTTCAGACCAGGTCCGGGGACAGTCTGTCCCCGGACCTCTACTGAAGGCTGGGGGGGGAACAAGGGCTTTTCTTCCCACCCCCAGCATTTTAAAAAACCCTGGGACAGCGGAGGACTTCTCCGCTGTCGGGGCGATCTTAAAATACTGGCGGGCGGCATTTTAAAATCGCCCCGGACAGCGGAGGACTTCTCCGCTGTCCGGGGCGATTTAAAAGCCCCTGGGAAGGCAGGCAGGGGGACAAAGACTTTCGCCCCCTGCCCGCCTTCAGAAGGTGTTCCCGCCCCCCGCCCCGCTTCGGAACGGCTGGGGCAGGTCTTCCCGCCCCCCTCCCCGCTTCGGAACAGCGTTCCGAAGTGGGGCGGCTGGGGCAGGTCTTCCCGCCCCCCCCCGCTTCGGAACAGCGTTCCGAAGTGGGGCGGCTGGGGCAGGTGTCCCCGCCCCCCCTCCCCGCTTCGGAACAGCGTTCCGAAGTGGGGCGGCTGGGGCAGGTCTTCCCGCCCCCCCTCCCCGCTTCGGAACAGCGTTCCGAAGTGGGGCGGCTGGGGCAGGTGTCCCCGCCCCCCTCCCCGCTTCGGAACAGCGTTCCGAAGTGGGGCGGCTGGGGCAGGTCTTCCCGCCCCCCCTCCCCGCTTCGGAACAGCGTTCCGAAGTGGGGCGGCTGGGGCAGGTGTCCCCGCCCCCCCTCCCCGCTTCGGAACAGCGTTCCGAAGTGGGGCGGCTGGGGCAGGTCTTCCCGCCCCCCAGCATTTTAAAACCGCCTCCCGACCCCCAGCATTTTAAAACCTTCCCGGGACACGGGGAGATTTTAAAATGCTGGGGGTCGGCAGCGCTTCGCTCCCGACCCCCAGCATTTTAAAACCTTCCCGGGACACGGGGAGATTTTAAAATGCTGGGGGTCGGCAGCGCTTCGCTCCCGACCCCCAGCATTTTAAAACCTTCCCGGGACACGGGGAGATTTTAAAATGCTGGGGGTCGGCAGCGCTTTGCTCCCGACCCCCAGCATTTTAAAACCTCCCCGTGTCTCTGCTGTCCCTTGGAAATTTTAAAATGCTGGGGGTCGGCAGCGAACGCTTCGCTCCCGCCCGCCAGCATTTTAAGATCGCCCGGGGCAGGCGGGGGGGAAGGCAGGCGGGGGGGAGCAAAGACTTTTGCCCCCCGCCGGCCTTCAGAAGAGGTCCTCTTCTGAAGGCCGGCTGTGGGCGAAAGTCTTTGCTCCCGACCGCCAGCATTTCCCTATGGGCTTTCGTCTTGCGAAGCAAGCCCATAGGGAAATTCGTCTTGCGAAGCGCCTCCAAAACAGAAAACCCTTTCGTCTTGCGGGTTTTCCGTCTTGCGAGGCATTCGTCTTGCGGGGTACCACTGTATTCTAATCATGCTGAGAGCAGATATAAAATGAGTTATTGCATATGGAGTGTGAAACTTTGTAAGGGGCTATAATATCTTATTTCTAATGGCCACGTCTTGCACCCAGTCACAGAGGTGCACATAACTTTCTGAGACCACAGATTTATTTATCCTGTCAAAATGTTTTAAAACTCCTCATTTTTGCTGTTTATTATGTTTCTTTAAATACGGTGTCTGGAGTCAAACACAAAATCCATCCCAAGCTATGCACACTCATTTGTGCAGGTGTGATTAATGCAGTTCGTAAAAACGCTGCTATAGGCCGTTTCTGACGTTGAATGGTTCATTCATTACCAATAACTCCTTCTCCCAGCAGCCATTTCTGGTTGTAATATACCATAGAATACTCCTGCAGTCATGCACAGTTACACATGATGTCAGAGCAGAGGAACGTGCTGCTTTGAGCGGCAGTTTTTCAATTCATCTGCTCCTCTAAATTGAATGAAGTAGGCTGAGAGAAATCAGTTCCATAGGAGATCAGAAAATGGCTTAACAGTTTCTTGCTTGTACTCCCAAATTAATAGTCTCGCTGTGCCAGTTCACTTGTGTTGCCTTTCAACCACGGAGTGCTTAATAACACTACTGTTAACATTTCAAATACATGTGGACAAATACCTGGTGGGTTGTGTGATAGAGGATTTTCTTTTCTATAGAGAAGTTGGGGTACAGAAGTTGGGGTAAAGGGTTAGACGATAGTTCCTCTCCTGCAGACATAATTACCTATGGCAGCTTTAGGGCAGATGGCCAAGTGTCTTAAAGGCACACAGATTGCTTTAATGCCAGTATCAGGAGGAAGAAGCCCCAATGGCGTATATATACCATAATTTACATCCATGCTTGATTCTTATAGCTATTGTATCCTAATATGATTGTGTCTTTCGGTTTTTAAAACAGGAGATTATTTGTTTTGTGGTTGGTTGGCGGCTTGCTTGGATATTTGGCAAATACTGTATCCAGAGACATTTGATCAATGCAACTTGCAGTGGAATCCTAGTGATGATTGTTGGTCGTAAAATTCAGCATTTGGATTTCAGGAGCCAGGATTCCATGCTGATAATAATAACTCACGCACTTTCAAGATTTCATGTTGATGGAACAGTTCTTGCTAGAGAACGGTTTACTTGGAAAGGAATTCACTTGAACCTCTTGTGCCACAATGATACATTTGCATCACTCCTATTCGTTGCAGCATAACTTTCTGGTGGATTGGTCTCATAGTTTTTTATTTGAAAATTTAGCTCATCTCCTCGGCTAGCAGAACTCTCACACTCACATGGTGTTGCTCCCTGAAGAAGGGCTGAATCACAGTTGCATGTTGAGCACTTGCAGTCCTAACCTCCTGTTCAGAGTGCTATAGGGGATTAGTAATTGACAGAATCACTGTCAACCTGGTGGGAAGGCTCCTTCTCCGCTGTTGAGGCTTTGCCAAGCCACATGGGGAGATCCCACCTGTGGAAATCCGTGAAGTGGGGTGTGGTGGGTTTCTGCTGGCTTTGGATCTGCTAGATCCATAGCCCCAGGGATTCCCCCCAAAGGCCCTGATAAAATAAAGCCCACCTTCTGTGCCGGCTGTTATAACTGGCAGAACTTCAGATGCAACAGTGGACTCACCACTCTGCTCCCAGACGGGTTAGAATTGCTGTGTCCCTCTCTCATCCTCCAATTACTCACACTGACTCACAGGCTGTGAACTGGCCCTACTGGGGGGGGGAGTCTGCGATGATATGAAACCTCTCTGTGGTTTCTGATACATGTAGATCATTACCGGATGATGCGGACTGCAAGTGATGAACACTTACATGCGAACAGGGATTTTAGAAATCATAGTTTACTACCCATTCCCCCTGAGACTGGAGAGGAGGAAGCTGACGGGCAGAATCGCCCCATGGGCTAGTTTTTAAGCACAAAAGCAACCAGGTGTGGGCTGGCTGAGATTGTTGGGGGAGCACCCCATTCACCCCAATGGACCACCCTCCACTGGCTTGAGGGATTTGTTTTGGGTTTGCTTTGAGTTTCTGCTATGTTAGGTTTGAGGGGAAATGACTGGTACTTTTTGGATTGTGCTTTTATAAACCAGATCCTGGTTCATAACTGGATGCTTTTTTATAACCATTTGCTAAAAGTCTTTCTTTCGAAAGAAAAATTAATGCTATGTCGAATAATAACAAAAACAAAACAAAGCAGTACCATGGGGTTCAATACAAATGGCAGTATCGAACTGCATAGTGCTAGCAATGTATTAGAGAACTCAGAGTGAAATATGCTGCTTGCGCATGAATGTTGGCTGCGAATTATTCCTTTATATGGCACTGAAACGGAGAGGTGACCTTTTGTAACACTCAGTTGGTGCAAACCTGAAGCGTATATCGTGTTGATTTCTAGCTTGTTTCATAATTTCTGTCTGCTTTCCCTTCTGTTCTTTCAGTTTTCTATTTTTTATCAGCTTTCTCAAATCAGTTGCTTTTAGATGATCTGCACACCTACATGAGATGGGCAAACACAGATCAGCTGTTGCATGAATATGCGCTCATAAGGAAGGCAGAAAATTTACAGAATAACACCTTTTTAACAATCTCTCATCTCTGCCTGAACTCGCTGGTGAAATACACCTCTTCCTCTCTTAACTTATGCAGGGATGTCCAGGTGTAATTGTAACATGTAAATTTTATTTTTCTTCTAAGATCAGTTGCGTTCTCAAAAAGCAGTGGCAGAGAGTAACTCCTGGCAGTCTCTAGTTCAAAGAAAGGCTTCTAATTATATGATGGGGGAGTATTAAAAGCCACATAACAGCTGCAATGCAGTGTGTCTGTGTGTCTGCGCTTTGAAGAGAATCTTCCTTTGCTTTATGCTGGAAAGGTTCTTTAATTCCTCATACCACAAGAACTTTTTCCACCTAGGTTGCAGAGTTTTCCCATCAAGTTTGAATTCCCAACACCATGGGAATGTCTGGCCACAGAATTCACAACCCCTGCTAACCCTGTGACGAACTTCCAATTGAAAAGCTGCAATATCCTTCCTCCCTTTCTCTTGAGGGAAGAAAAGGGCCTATTTAACATAACAGTGCCTAACGTAGAACATCAACTTGAACCGTCCTGACCTCATAGCTGTGTGTCTTTATATGCTTTTTCTTAGCAATGGAGAACCTTGACAATACAAAGTCCTGAAAGAGAGGAAAGCTTGAAAAGGATAAAGACTCTTCTTCCACTCAGCTCCCCTCCTGTAATAAATAGGAGGCCTAGTTTAGAGACATTAAAAGTGCCTTCTGTTGCAAAACAATGGGAGTTGTGACACAGGGGCTGCAGTCAGCCACTTGAATAGGATCAAAGGAGGATGAAAGCTCCTTCAGCAGCACAGTATTTTCACTAGAGAATATCCTTTGTTTTAATGCAGGCTGAGAATCACGCAGTCAATTCTTGGGAGTCTTAAGGAAGCATGACTGCCACACTGCCACTTATTTAGGATACCAGAATTGTCATAAAAAACCCAACTCCTAATAATAGTTAACATTTATATTCTTTTCTTTAAGTTATGTGCTTCTTTGGCATAACACTTTCAACATCCCTGAGACGTAGGACGGTTTAATCCCTAAATTGCAAATTGAGACAATGGCTTGCATAAAGCTACCTTGGTGACTGAAATTCTGGACTAAAATTTGAACCAGGGAATTTTTTTATTCATAGCTGTACCTATTAACCTGCTCTTGCCTTCAATCTGAAATTCAGAAAAGAACCTGCATGGTGACTGTGCTAAATATGTTAACTGTTCTGAGATACACAGTATTCTGTCTTGATGAGACTAAATTAGATTTTCTTCAGACCTGTTTTAGCCCTTGAATTCTGCCATTTGTATAGCGTCGACAAATGAGTCAAAAACCCACTGTAATAAAATGTCTTAAACCTGCAGAGCACTGTGGACACATGTCTCATGTGGAATAGTAAAGATTTGCATGGGCCCTTCAGTTCCATAAATGTATGCGTAAGTGTGTGTGTGTGTGTGTGTGTGTGTACCCTTGTTTGAAAGTTTGAAGCTGATTGTCACTTGTCGATATAAATTTTAGTTCAGCAGGAGTTGATCTTGCTATGGTTTGCAGAGCAGCATGCAAAATGTGCTTAAAGAGGGACATTATGCTGTGTTGCCCTGAAAAAATGACATTATGCCATAAATATCCTAGGTGTGATATCTGTTGTTGAGGAAAACAATTTACCTACTAGTAAGTGTTCCTACGTTGCATAGTTTTCGTCACATTATCATTGACCTTAGAGTTGTTTGTTTCTGTCCTACCTTGAGAGACGTTCTTTGCTAATACTGAATCTTCTTATTCCAGGTTTGATGCTCCTTCACTGGGCCTTTAGCATACGGCAGAATAGGCACAGAGTTGCCATGAAACCTAACTTGAAGCAATGGAAACAACTCATGCTGTTTGGAATATTCGCGTGGGGTCTCCTGTTCCTGGTTATCTTCATCTATTTCACAGATAGCAACACGGCTGAAGCAGTTCCAAGCTCCTTCTCCTACACTGAGACTAAAAGGCTTTTGCCCATTCAAGGCAAGCAGCGAGCTATCATGGGAGCCATGCACGACCCGTCCTTCTCTGATACAGCTGATGAGAACGATCTGCTTCTCGGCAAAGACGTCTCGGGTTCACTCAAATCGGGGACTGGGAGCATTAAAAAATGGGCTGACCTAGACGATGGCTTTGAAAGTGAAGAGGAATTTTTCCCTCCCCAATTAGGAAGAAAATCAAAAAGTGCTTTCTATCAAAGGTCTGGTGATTATTTATTTGCTGCTGGTCAGCGTCGGTCACAGAGCAGTATTCAGAGAATAGGGAGATTAGTCTCAGCAGAGGGGGCGGATCAGAAGAGCAATGCCTTGCAGGATAATTGGCTCCCTCAAAGGAAGAAAAAGAAAAGGCATGCGAGACACAGGAGAGGCCAGATGTTTGAAGAGTCTAATGAATGGGATGGAGTATATTCCACAATGTCGAAATCTTTCCTCTACAGGCTTTGGAAAGGGAACGTCTCCTCTAAGATGCTTCTCCCTCGCCTACAGAAAGCAAGGAAAGGTTACCTGGATACTAATAAGCATAGGGTTCACTTCAAAGGGAAGCGAAACCTCAAGTTGACTTCAGAGCAGCTCCTCTGTGAGCTCAAGGAACGTGTGGATGTCAGGACCATCGATGGCAAAGAAGCTCCCTTTTCTATCCTCGGATGGGAAAGGCGGGTCCCCAAAGTTTCTCTGAGCAAGCTGTACCCACGTGGGTTTGGTAGCTGTGCTGTCGTCATGTCCGCTGGTTCCATACTGAACTCTTCTCTAGGGGATGAAATAGGTGAGTGGAAGGATCTTGACAAAATGTGCAAAACCACGTACATGTGGACCAGGACTGTACGTAATAACATAGAAAGATAGAGAGCCCTGATAGGTCAGATCAAGGCCTATCAGCTTGTTCCCCTTGTTGGCCAATAGATGTCTCTTAGGAAGCTCACAAGCAGGCCAGGAGCCCAATAGCCCTCTCACACTCATTCCCCAGAAAATGGTATGCAGAGGTATACTGCCTTTGAAGCTGGGAGCCACATATAGCCAGCATGATTTGTAGCCAATGATGGACTTAAAGGTAAAGGGACCCCTGACCATTAGGTCCAGTCGTGGCTGACTCTGGGGAGCCGGCATACAGCTTCTGGGTCATGTGGCCAGCATGACTAAGCTGCTTCTGGTGAACCAGAGCAGCCCACGGAAACGCCGTTTACCTTCCCTCCAGAGTGGTACCTATTTATCTACTTGAACTTTGACATGCTTTCGAACTGCTAGGTTGGCAGGAGCAGGGACCGAGCAATGGGAGCTCACCCCATTGCGGGGATTCGAACCGCCGACCTTCTGATCGGCAAGCCCTAGGCTCTGTGGTTTAACCCACAGCGCCACCCGTGTCCCTATGATAGACTTAATCCCCCATTAATTTGACCACCAACCTTTTCAAGTCACCTGAGCTAGTGACCATCAGTGCATCTTATGACAGGGTATTCTATAAATTAACTAGATTGTGTGCTTGGCGTTTCAAGAAGATGTTAATAAAATCCTTCACCAAAGGCTCCTGAGTGAGCTTAGCAGCCATGGGATAAGAAGACAGGTTCTCTTATGGATTGGTAACTAGAAGAGGAAGCAGAGAGTAGGAATAAATGGGCAATTCTCATACTGGAAGGGTATAAGAAATGGGACTTTCCCAAGGATGTGTTCCTAAATGATATGGAGTTAGGGTGGAGCAGTGAGGTGGCCAAGTTTGCAGAGTATTAGGAGGGAGCAGGCATTAAAATAAAACGACAAACAGGGTTCATTGTGAGCAAGTGTAAAATAAGGCAAGAAATTATGAATCTGCCGTGCTGATCATACTATACCTAGATAGGATTAGGGCCACCTAGTGCTTGAAGGCAGGAATTTTAGTTGCTTTTAGCTGGTGGTATTTTTTACATTTACGCACGTGGGATCTGAACTGGTGTTGACTGGCCAGGAACGAGACTTTTGGGTTGCAACGGATAACGCATTGAAAATGTCTGTGTTGATGTGTGTGGCATCTGTGAAAAGAGTAAATTTTCATGTTAGAGATTGGGAAAAGCATTAAAAATTAATCTGCCCCATCATAATGCTGTTAGATAAATCTGTGGCATGGCTGCACTTGGAAAGCTTTATACAGTTCTGGTTGCCACACCTCAAAAGCATATTGTAGAGCTAGGAAAAGTCAGAGAAGGGCAACCCAATTGATCAAGGGTTTGAGCAACTAGTGATGTTGGTTTTTAGAAATTATGCGTATGTAAATTAGAGTAATTTGCATAAGGAAATGTTCTGATGCCCTACAGAATAATCTAATTTAGCACATTTATTTTACTTGTATTCAATAGACAAAATCAAAACTGCCAAACTTGCCTAATGATTTATTTGCAGTTAGCATCTATTCATCGTTACTTTAAGGAATGGAAAAATTTCCACAGATTTTTAGTTTATTTTTTATCTAGAAAATGTCCCTTTCCATCTCATTGGTAGAATCTTGCCCCATGGGAAACCTTTACAGTATTTGAGACTTTTTAGTTTAGAAGTGGTAAATACGGGTGGACTGATAGAGCTATAAAAAGTTATGCTGAGAGTGTGGCTAGAGATAAGTTTTCTCTCTCACACACCCATCATACTAAATCCCAGGGGTCATCAAATAAAGATGAAGCCAAGCTCATTGGTGTGATTTAAATCGAGTGTGACGCTGCAGTATATTGGTCAAAAAGCCGCAGTTCCATAAAGAAGGTAAAGGTAAAGGACCCCTGGCTGGTTAAGTCCAGTCGAATTCTTTTGAACTGCTAGGTTGGCAGGGACAAAGCAACGGGAGCTTACCCTGTTGTGCGGATTCGAACCGCCAACCTTGCGATCGGCAAGCTTAAGAGGCTCAGTGGTTTAGACCACTGCGCCATTCATGTCCTTATGCAACAGACCCTGCTGTGTGAAATGAAGGTTAGAAAATGGGACAGGAGAGCTAGCGTTATAGTCAGGAAAACTCATGTAATAAACGCTATATCTGAATGCACCCCTAATCAACACGCCTGTGTTCCATCCTGAGTGTGATCTGTTGGATGTAGACTGTGGAGGTTTGCTCCAAATTGTGGAGTGAGCTAGAATCCTCCCTAATCCCTGGTAAAGGCTAAGGAGGAAAAGGGAAGAAATGTTTTGTCACTTCAGTTCCTGAACACCAAAACAATGTTCTTCCCACAGATTCTTTAAAATGAACTCTGGGTTAATCCTCTAGACTAGAGCCATTCATATTTTCATATCCAGATAGGTTTCCCTTTAAATCTCTTAGGATGAAGTAGAACTACTCTCATTATCCAACTACTTTAATAGGCTTCCTGCTCAGAACATGTGCCAAAGCTGTCCTGGTAGCTTCCAGTCAGGGTAGCTTCCAGTTTCAAAAGATAATCCCACTAGTTTGAAAACCTACCAGGTGTGAGAGCTCCACAGGTTCTCTCCCCTGCCTTTTCCTCACAGATAACGAAGCAAAATATTTCCTTTTTCTAGTTTGTGTTTCTACCAAACTGCGAGTTCAGTATCGAAGAAGCTGTTTTGTTTGTTTGTTTTAAGGGTTTTTGGAAGGCATGTTGACCTTTACCTTGCGAAAAGGCCGAGATGCCTCCGAATCAGTGACCTTTTGACGCCATAAGAAGTAACATTTTTGTCTCCCATATACCCAGTTTTAGGGGTCACTCAGTGTGCCCGTACATTGTAGTTGTGGAACTCTCCAGTTGCCCACCCACAGTACTTCCAGGTCACCTCTCCCTCTCCCTCTCCCTCTCCCTAGTTGACCTAGTTTTGCTTACTAAGAAAATAATGTTCCTCTAGGTGACCTTCTTGTCGAGTATTCATCATTTGCTTGCACAAAGCTTTTTCAAAGGTTAAGCAACGCCTGCTCTTTCTTGATAATTTATTCTGATTTGCATGCAAAGAGGTTATGAGTATTCCCATCAATTGGTCATTTATTCCACTCTTTTTAATAATTCTCCCCATCGTGTTCCCAACAGCAAAAGGCCAGTTTACTGTTGTTGTTGTTTGTTTGTTTGTTTGTTTGTTTGTTTGTTTGTTTGTTTGTTTTAAAAAATGTGTTGTTGTTTTTTGGAGTGCCGGAGCACTTTAATTGCACAAATTTAATTTTCCAGCTGAATCCTTCCTGCAAAATATTGACAATCTGGAGGCAACCTTGTTACATTTTAAACGCTTATTTGCATGCACAACCAGAGTAAATGACAGATTCCCTCTTCCCACCTTTTCATTGCAAGCTTGCATGTGAAACAGTGAGTCATACGTAGCCATGCTAATGATTGAGAGGTATGGCGCCTCAGGGTGATGCCTAGTTTTGATTGATTGATTTAACCCAGAATAAAAGAGCGTGATACGAAGTGTTTATCCTGGGCTCGTTCTTGTGTCTTACTGCTCCTGTTTCACAGAATCCCACGGATCAGAGACATTCTGCCCCAGCCCCGTTCTCTTAACACAGATGCGTATATTAACAATGGACTTCCCTTCTCTTCATGTAGGAGGCTGGATCTGTTGCTAGGGGGATTCTGGAGGGAGGGAGAGCCTATTGCAGTGAGATACTCCACAACGACTGCCCTGCCGCATTTGCCATAAGCGAAACGGGTGTAAATGTGAAGCCGTCATGACTCTGCCAAGAATTTATAAGGCATTATGAGAATGCGTGCTGTCATGTTCACCTCATGGCAGCCTGACTTTTGTTCTGCTTTCTTGTTCTGTTCTAGAAGAGCCTCGGCTTTCGTTCTTTCGACAAAAGAAATATCCGTGGTTATTGTCAACCTCCCCACCCCCCCAACATCAAGATGCGTTTTAAGAATTCCAGAGACTTAATGTGTCACTCAGTACCCTCTCTTATTGCTTCGTTTATGTGCCTCCAGGTTGTTGATGATCGCAGTAGTAGTAGTAGTAGTAATAATAATAATAATAATAATAATAATAATAATAATAATAATAATAATGTGATGTAGCATTTATGTGGTATATTTCAAGAGCTCAAAGCACATTTTTCTTGCACATTCACCTCAGCAGTCTCGGGTTATAGTGTTTGGCTGTAATTCCTCTGAGGGAATCACAAGGCACACAGCACCTGTTTCTTCCACCCCAGCTCCCTCTTGCCACTCTTCTGTTTCTTTCATAGACTTGCCACTCTTTCCCTTCCTTTCCTGACCCTGGTGATGTTCCCTGAGGACTTCCTACTTTGGGGAGTGAGCTGCTGTCACTGCCACCTCTTTCCCCTTCCCTAGCCATTGGGGATAGAGACCAGCAGAAAGGGGTGGGGTGGGGGGAGACCAGCTCTTCTCGTCCCACCTGCACACAAGCTTCCTTTAATTCTTCTTATGTTCTTATTTATTGAATCGTATGTTTCACTCAGTCTGAAATAAGACACTGCTTCACACCTCAGGGTGTTCTTTCCCTGGCATTGAACTCTGATAAAGCCTCCTGCTGGTCTAAATGGAGAACGCAGAGGGGGATTTGAGCTAGCCTACTGTACAGAGTATGTGTGGGTTAAACCACAGAACACAGGACTTGCCGATAGAAGGTCGGCGGTTCGAATCCCTGCGATGGGTTGAGCTCCTGTTGCTCGGTCCCTGCTCCTGCCAACCTAGCAGTTCGAAAGCACATCAAAGTGCAAGTAGATAAATAGGTACCACTCTGGCGGGAAGGTAAACGGCGTTTCCGTGCGCTGCTCTGGTTCGCCAGAAGCGGCCTAGTCATGCTGGCCACATGACCCGGAAGCTGTACACCGGCTCCCTCGGCCAATAAAGCGAGATGAGCTCTGCAACCCCAGAGTCGGTCACGACTGGACCTAATGGTCAGGGGTCCCTTTACCTTTACCTTACTGTACAACGTTAGCATTTGCATTTGTTGCGCCACCCACTTTCACCTTTGGCTCCACCCACCCGTTATCTGGCCCTTGGAAGATTTTCCAGAAGGAAATGGGGCCCTCAGGCTGCAAAAGTGCCTCACCTTTGACTGAAGCCTGTCAGTTAACTATGAAATTGTTGTGCACTGTGCGGGAAGGGTCGTAGGTGTAAACCCCCAGAGTATCTAGGGCATCTAGACTGCTGGCAGTGGGAAACACCAGGATGATCTGGAATTATTGGGAGTGCAGTGGTACCTCTACTTACGAGCGTCTTCTGGTTATGTATCCTTTGGGATACGCACGCGGCAAACCCGGACGTATTTTTCCGGGTTTCGCCGTATGCGCAGAAACGCTCTGCTACGCCATGCGCATGCGCAGAACAGGCACCTCTGGTTGCGAAAACCTCGGGATCTGACCGGAGCTCCGGAACGGGTCCTGTCCGCAACCGGAGGTACCTCTGTATTTTCACACTACCTAGAAACCTGAATGGGGACGCAGGTGGCGCTGTGGGTAAAAGCCTCAGCACCTAGTGCTTGCTGATCGAAAGGTCGGCGGTTCGAATCCCCGCAGCGGGGTGCGCTCCCAGTGCTCGGTCCCAGCGCCTGCCAACCTAGCAGTTCGAAAGCACCTCCGGGTGCAAGTAGATAAATAGGGACCGCTTACTGGCGGGAAGGTAAACGTCGTTTCCGTGTGATGCGCTGGCTCGCCAGATGCAGCTTTGTCACACTGGCCACGTGACCCGGAAGTGTCTCTGGACAGCGCTGGCCCCCGGCCTCTTGAGTGAGATGGGCGCACAACCCTAGAGTCTGTCAAGACTGGCCCGTACGGGCAGGGGTACCTTTACCTTTACCTTTAGAAACCTGAATGTCATTTTAAAAAAAACCCAAAAATCTGAAAACAGATTCCCCCACCCTGCACTTGGAGGTTGAAAAACAGGATGCAAACTACGCCTGTAGTAGTGGCCAGACTCTTATCAGTGGAAAGAAGATAAAAGTCAGACAATGCCACTTGGTAAGAATTAAGTCCTGCTTTAATACTTCCTTCTCTGGTTGATAGTGACTGTTCTGCAGTGCGACACTCTCAGGAAGCGTGATCATAGGTCCGGGAGCCAAGGATTGTAACATGAAGCAGTATTTTTTAAAATATATATATATGGGCTGAAAGTGGGCAGGGGTCAACTGATGATAGGTCCTTGAGGTCTTCAAAGGAACACACCCTGGTTAACTAGCAGGGCAGAGCAAACCAAGACATGACAAGTCTTGGATCTCCAGATGTACCAGTGGACTTTGGGCGCCCCCTTCTGTTTTTGTGCTAGAAATGTGATATTTAGGTTTTACTTCTGAGCGTTGAAAGTGTGGTTTTTACAAAAAGGGATATATGCAGCAGACTTGAATACTTTTTCTGAGAGTCCAGATGCTTTTATAGTGAGCTGTTTTAAGCAGAATAGCATCGTGGTTGTTTTACGATACAATTCTAAGACATGGTGTTCTTGTAACCTGAGGTGGTTTTCCAGGACTGTTTCTCAAATGTCCGTATCATAAATCTGAAACGGAATGTAATGCTAAAGTTAAGAGTAATGCCATTTTATACAGGGTTGTGGGTTTTTTAAACTGTAGATGTAACATCTGCTAGCACTTGGTCTGCAGGAAACTTTGGATTTGTTGTGGTTATTCAGAGCTTAGAATTTTCTAACAACATTGCTTCTAAAGTAGAAGTTATCAAATTGCAAATGTGCTAAAGGAAGAAAAGTAGACTGTTGACCAGCATTAGAAATTCAGATATATAAGCTATGTACCAAATGGCTCCTTAAACCAGGGTTACAGTCGCCTAAACAGAGTGCCTAGTTGCCATTTGAGGACCAGATGGCTGAAAATTCAGATAGAATTCTACAGGATGTGTTGCTAGTGTGTGAAAACAGGCAAGATCCATGGATCCCCAAGCATGCACTTCCAGATGGTGGAGACGTCAGGTGCCATCGTGGCACCTAGGCATCTTCACTTGGTTGCAAGTGGCCAGTAAAGGTAAAGGGACCCTGACCATTAGGTCCAGTTGTGACCGACTCTGGGGTTGCGGCGCTCATCTCACTTTATTGGCCGAGGGAGCTGGTGTACAGCTTCCGGGTCATGTGGCCAGCATGACTAAGCCGCTTCTGGCGAACCAGAGCAGCGCACAGAAACACCGGTTACCTTCCTGCCGGAGCGATACCTATTTATCTACTTGCAGTTTGGTGTGCTTTCGAACTGCTAGGTGGGCAGGAGCTGGGACCGAGCAATGGGAGCTCACCCCGTTGTGAGGATTCGAACTGCCGACCTTCTGATCGGCAAGTCCTAGGCTCTGTGGTTTAACCCACAGCGCCACCCGCACAAGTGGCCGGTAGCCAGGTGCAAAATGCACCTGGCGAATATCGAACGCTGCTGGAGACCAAATTGGAAGTAGATATTACCATTTATTCATGGGATAAATGGCGCTGTGGGTAAAAGCCTCAGTGCCTAGGACTTGCCGATTGAAAGGTCGCCGGTTCGAATCCCCACAGCGGGGTGCGCTCCCGTCGCTCAGTCCCAGCGCCTGCCAACCTAGCAGTTTGAAAGCACCCCCGGGTGCAAGTAGATAAATAGGGACTGCTTACTAGCGGGAAGGTAAACGGCGTTCCGTGTGCTGCGCTGGCTCGCCAGATGCAGCTTGTCACGCTGGCCACGTGACCCGGAAGTGTCTGCGGACAGCGCTGGCTCCCGGCCTATAGAGTGAGATGAGCGCACAACCCTAGAGTCTGGCAAGACTGGCCCGTACGGGCAGGGGTACCTTTACCTTTATTACCATTTATTGTCCTTGCAAGCATGGCACTGTTATGTGTCACAGTAGACGAGGGGCGAGGAACTGGGCCTGACCAACAGAATACATTGTTATCTCCCACATCCTAGGGCCAAGTGTGACAGTTGAGTGGGACTGCAGCACCCACCAATCACATGATGTTGCAGTAACATTAGGTGACATTTTGCCCACGAGGTTTGAAATCAAACAGCAGGCAAAGTCACAGCCTGCAAAATGACAGCAATCAGCTTATGGTTGGGTCTTGTGAATCACTATGCACAGGGCTTTTGAAGACCCAACCATAAACTTGATGGTCGGTGTCTGCCAAACCTCTTTTACCTGGCCCACACCTGACATCAGGTGTAGGGCAGGTGAGCTTGTCTAAAATGGCCTGCAGTCAAGAGTTCCCCCCCCCCATTGTTGTAGCAGAGCAATATTCTGTTTGCATTCATCGCTAATCTTCAGATACTATTATTTAGAGTGCAAGACTTTGCATGTCTAGTCAGCACTAGGTCCATTTTGTTTCAGTGGGACTTACATAGAATTCCACCCAGAGATTGCACTTGTAAAAAAAATGATATATAATGAATGGGAAGCAATTGATGTGCTCAAAGCAATTTGCAAAACACAGCAATTCAAAATAGAAGAAAGTACCAGGCAATTCAAATAAGAAAAAAGAATGTGGAGTGATTGACAAAGCAAGTACTAATTAAGCAATTAGTAATAAAGCGATTTCAAACATACTGATTTCTAGACCCCTTCCTTATTTTAACTCCCATCTAATTTGATTCCAGAACACCACAGCGTTTCCCCATAGCTCCCAATCCAGAGTGGTGTGTCTAGGGATCTTTCCAACAGGGTCACGCAAAACACACAAAAAGTGTGGGGAGATGAAACAACCCCTGGGCGTCCAGCAAGATTGGAATGAACATTTGGAAAACAGCAAATCTAGGGTAAAACAGAACCCCAGTAAAAACTGGACTGCTCCTACAACTACTGCAGGCATAAATGAACCCTGTAAGAGCAATTGGGGGCGTAAAAGAGCTTCTATTTTCATCCGCCAAACATTTTTCCTTGTAATTATCAGAGAGGGAACCAGACCTCTGCATCAGTTTGGAACTGAGTCCAAAGATGGAAATCCTCTGCCTTCTGTACAGGCTCAGGATTCTCCAGAAAAAAATTAGAGAAATCCTTGCTGTAGGCTTCTTGTGCTGTGCCAACCTGTTTGTTGTGGCCAGCACTGCACTTAAATTTTCAAATCCATTCTTTTAAAAAATCACCACCACAAAAGCGGCAGAAACTTGCCCCTACCCCTCAGTTTTCATGAGAATATTTTATGGAAAGTGGCTTAGGGGAGAGGGGATTTCATACCAGTGTAAATAACAGCAAACCTCTCTCTCCAAAAAAAACAACCAAGCATATTTTGACTCCTTCACCTACTGCGTTCTTCACACATTCATTCCTTGTCCAAGTGCCAAGATACCACACAGGAAATCACTTCTCAGCAGAAGTTGCTCACAGCTTGCTTGCGAAGAGCCTGGGTTTCTTGTCACTGATGCTACTCATTTTATTCCCTCACTTGCTCCCTTCATGTGTGCTGACTACAGTGGTTCTTGGAGCCCAGCAGGAAGGGGTCGATGCTTACTTCCAAGTAAACATGCAAATGATTGTACTACACGATGACTCTTGTCGGTTACTCACCTGAATGTCCTTTCCTCTGACTTTATAGACTCCCATGATGCCGTCTTGCGATTCAACTCTGCTCCAACAAACGGATATGAAAAAGATGTCGGAAATAAAACAACCATGCGCATCATTAATTCCCAAGTAAGGCACTTGAACATCTGCATACTTGTATTGTTTTCCATATGTCGCAACTCCTCCTAGAACTGAACCAGAAATCCTGGGGAATTCTGCTTTGATTTTAAATAACAGGCCCCAGCTTTCATCATTGCTGGGAACTGTTAACGTGTCCAGCAGTGCTTCCTAAAGATTACATACCAAGGGGAGGAGAGAGGTGATGGATTAGGTGCTATAGCTCCTTGTCTTTTGTCCCTCTCCCCTGCCTCCAGGGGACTCCCAAACTGTGGTCCATGGGGTACCAGTGGCCCACAAGCTTTTTATTCAGGTGGTTGCTGGTGTGTTTGGATTTGTGGTTTTAGATGGAGTATCCATCGTATTAAATATTCTCATTGATTTTTATTTTTATTTTCATTGTTTCTTTTATTATATTTCATTTTATTGTGTTGCAGTGTGAATTATAGGTAAAGGTAAGGGACCCCTGACCATTAGGTCCAGTTGTGACCGACTCTGGGGTTGCGGCGCTCATCTCACTTTACTGGCCGAGGGAGCCGGCGTACAGCTTCCGGGTCATGTGGCCAGCATGACTAAGCCACTTCTGGCGAGCCAGAGCAGCGCACGGAAACGCTGTTTACCTTCCCGCTAGAAAGCGGTACCTATTTATCTACTTGCACTTAAGGGCGCTTTCGAACTGCTAGGTTGGCAGGAGCAGGGACCGAGCAACGGGAGCTCGCCCCGTCGCGGGGATTCGAACTGCCGACCTTCTGATCGGCAAGTCCTAGGCTCTGTGGTTTAACCCACAGCGCCACCCGAGTCCCACAGTGTGACTTATATGGGGTTCAAATAGCAATACAATAAACCACAGTAGATAAGAAATAAAAGAAGCAATAAAAGTACAGTGAGATATCATACAGTATCTTGCTAGTTCCGCTGGCAGTGCATGAGACTCTTCAACTCAGGGTGGTCGTGGGTTCGACCACCACGTTGGGCAAAAGATTTTTTCCTTGAAGGGTAGTTGGACTCAATGACCCTCGTGATCCAACTCTATGATGCCCTGTTATTGTAGTTGCTACAACAGGGAGACAAATCATTAATTGGTCCGCCAAGACCCTCGGAAATGTCAAGTGGCCTGTTGAGAAAAACGTTTGCAAACTCTTGGTCTAAGCCTCTCCTCATTCTTTTTTTGTAGTTTTATATGAAACAATATTTATTTATTAGGCTTCTTACTCATTCTTCCCAGGGCAGGTCACAGCTAACTAAAAATGCAACATTAATATAAGCTGAAACAGTCTTCAATCTACAAAAGAACTGCGGTAATGTTGCAGAGTTATGGTGATAGCATGTTCAACTGAGGTGGTTGATAGTGCAAAACAACAAGAACAAATAAGCAAGGTGTGGGAGGTGGAAATGATATAGATGCGGTGTTTGACAAAGTTGCATGACTATACTGAAGGAAGCACACACACACACACAACCTGTCCATCTATATACATGTATATACAGTGGTACCTCGGTTGTTGAACGTAATCTGTTCCGGAAGATCGTTCGACTTCCGAAAATTTCGACAACCGAGGCGCAAAGGGCTTACTGCAAAGTCAATGGAGAAAATTGGGGAAAAAACCGCAGCGGACGCCGTTCGACTTGAGGCAATTACTTCCGGTTTTTCAGCGTTCAAAAACCAAAATGTTCAGCTTTCGAGGTGCTCGAAAACTGAGGTAGCACTCTGTGTGTGTGTATAATATAGATGATAGATAGATAGATAGATAGATAGATAGATAGATAGATAGATAGATAGATAGATATGCAGTGCCCTCTTGTGGTGGACACACTGTATGTTTACTTTTCAAAATGAAGGTTTATTTGTAAGGACAGTATTTTGATTTTTCGTTTCCTTATCTTTGAATTGAGGATGATAGCAACCTGTGTCTCACAGTCCGTCAATCCAATAATTCTTTTACGTGGGGTGGATGCATGATGTGGACAGCAAAACACATGTTCCATGCCTACCGCTCTATGTCATCACGAAAGGATAGCCAGAGACATTTGGGCAAATTTAACAAAAACCACCTGGACAGAAATTGCTTTCCTCTTCTCTTCTCCTGCCCCCCCTCAGCAATATATCTCAGCTTCGATAGCCTACATATCGTAGGGGTATTTAAAATGAGTGCCGTCGTCACATCCTCTTTCTTTGCTCTTCAAAATATGGCAACCCTACACTGCAGGGATGGGGAATTTTAGACCCAGGGCTGATTGTGGCCCTCTAGGCTCCTCTGTCCAGTCATCAGAACTTTCCCCAAGTTATACCCCCAACCTCCCCTCCCCAAAAAAGGCTGAGAGTTTTTTTTAAGGGGGGGGTAGTATGTTGACAGGTAATGCCATCACTTGATCTTATGAGGATGTTTCATAATCATTTGGAAATGTTTTAAATACATCTGTTTGTGTGTGTTTTGTATTTTGCAGATTCTTACCAATCCTAAGCACCAGTTCACTGACAACCCCTTATATAAAGATGTTACCCTAGTCGCTTGGGATCCTGCACCCTATTCTGCAGATCTGACTGTGGTAAGTCAGCAGCCAGGATGAGTTCAGCACCCGCTGCAACCTCCTCATTTAAAAGCAACTAGGTTCAACAATGCCCTTTTTCAAACTGTGAGAGTGTTCCCAGGTCACTGATTTCCCATCACAGGAAGCCTAAAACTAGGAAGTACTACAGAGGAGAGGCTGCTGTGCTACTGTTTAGCGCTGCTCTCACTGACTTGGGCCAGCACAATAAAAATGGTTTTGCTTCCGAACTGAAGCAAACCAAATTCCTACCCCATGTCTAGATGAGAGATACGTTTCCATGAAATCCACCCTAATCAGAGCACATTAAGTATTTGAACGAGCTTGTGTTGTCGTTTTGGGAGCTTAACTATGGAACAAGCAATAAAAGAATGGGGAATAACCTAATAAACAGGCTCAACCTATCTGCCTTCTTTTTCCACCTGCGATCTTGACTTAGCAGATAATTCCTGCTCCTTTTTAGTCGGCTCCCTTAACTGTCTCTTCACAACAGACGCTCCCTGCCTGTCAGTCCCTCTCTCACCATTTCCATCTAACTCTCCTGCGGCCCATTTTAGTCTTCTCCACAGCTTTTTGGATATAATATGCCGGTTGATATTATACATGGGAGCAGCAGAACGTATTGCTATAATTTCTGCCGTTTACAGGGGAGCAGAGAGTAACACACCCACCCACACTCACACAGAGAGTGTGTGTGTGTGTGTTTAAAATTTATTGTGGAATTAATTTTTTTGCCAGCTTTATTATAAATATTTCATCTCTTGACACTAGAGGGAACTGTCTTATTACACAGAACACAGGAAACTGCCTTATAGCTGCCCAGGGTGGCTAGAGAAACCCAGCCAGATGGGCAGGATATAATTAATAAAAATTATTATTATTATACCGAGTCAGATCATTGGTCTATCTAGCTCAGCAGATCCTGCACTGACCAGTAGCATCTGTCCGGTTTCAGGCAGGAGACATTCCTTGGCCTAACGGGAGACGTTGGTGGCCTTTGGCATGCAAAACAGATGATCTACCACTTGAGCTACGTGACCAGTGTCTGCAAGTTTTTCCTGTTACTATGGCCTTGCACAACCTTCCTTCCTTGTAGCACCTTCAGGTCCTCCCACCTCCCTGTCCCCACATCACCTGGTGCTTGTTAACTCAGTCATCCTGATCTAAGTGCCTGGCCACCTGTGATTATTTTCCTTCTCTTCTCTCTGCCAAAATTCATTTCTGTAGCTCAAGTGCTGCCACCGGCATACCTTATGAAAATTTAAGTTTGCAAGAGTTTAAATAATGCAAACAACTTGCGGGAATTGTAAACATGCAAAGAAATCTGGAGTAACTGTGTTCCACTTGGGCTTTTTTTCTTCTTGTGTGGGTGGGGTAATGGGGCCTGCACATAGATTTATGGAAAGCAAATGGGGGGGGGGGTCCTGTCCTAGCTGGGAGTAAAATCCTGTAGCACAATTCCTGTACGTATCATCCCACTGCCTGCAAGCCTACTACACCCTTGTGCAAATTAATTGAAACAAACAATGTAGTTGATTGTACAAAACTCACACCTACATGAACAAAACTCACATTAGTAACGGATATGACCTCTGTTATTTTTAAGCAGCGTTTGAACACTGTTTGACATGGAGTCTACTAGTTTTGAACAGTCACTGTGGCTCTTCGGATCCCTGTACCACACTTGAATCAGCGCCTGAATGAACTTCTCCATGGTCGTACAATCTACAGCACGGAGGCGACGTTTGCATATGGCCCATAAATTCTCAATGGGATTTACGTCCGGGGAATTCCCTGGCCAATCAAGTACCTATATTTGCCACTCTGGCATGAATTTCTTCACCATTTTCAATGTGTGACGGGGGCTAGGTCTTCCTGCAATAGCTCAGTACCTTCAGGATACCTCTTTTCCAGCTCTGGAATAACTCTCTTTCGTAGAACCTCAATATATTGTGGCAAGCGCATCATACCTTCTGTTGGCTGCAGGCTTCCGACACCATAATGATCAACTGACTTTTCATGTTTGTTTTGAGTACAGGATTACGAGTAAGATAGAAAACATGCTTTGTTTCAATTAATTTGCACAATCCAATGTGCCCAGCATAGCTCTTGTGACATCCGGCAGAAAGACCTGTACCCAGAGCATGGACTAAGCATGGTACAGTCCTGCCCACAACTGGTGTAAACCCACCCTAGAGAGTTAACTCCCTTTTACCTGCCGTCGCATACAGGGACACACATTGGCTAGGTTTCACCATATAGCAGAACGTTCTCATTCCGAGAGCTGCCAGCTTGTTTACCATGGGAAAGCTTCACATAAGATTTGGAGTTTTGTCTGCTGAGCTCGAATTCTTCCCAGAGAAGAGGCTGGTAACTTAGGGCCTTGTGGGTGTTCTTGAACTGCAACTCCCATCATCCCCAGCTCCTGGATATACTAACAAGGGCTGATGGGAGTTAGAGTTCAGCAACATCCGGAGGAAGGCAGGTTGGCTGTACCTACCTTAGTGGTAAAGCCCAGTTCTTTGTCATCTAAAAGTCAATTGTAGACTACGCCCAGATATTTGTTGTGATTGATTAGCAGGCATTGAAAACTGTATCAGTTCTGCTGCTCTATCTAAACTGTCTGCGACATCAGGGCTCCCTAACACATGCTAGTAAGAGCTGCAGAAATCCATATCCACTTTCTTCTATGCCTTGAAGGTGTGTTTTTATATCCACAGGGAGCTGACAAATGTGATGCTTTAGATGCAGGTTGGTATGTGTTTAGCACTCCCTAGAAAATGTCTGGTTTTTTGTTTGTTTTTTGTTTTCTCCCACCAGTGGTTTAAGCAGCCAGACTACAACTTGTTTACTCCCTATGCACTGCATCGCAGGAGGAATCCTAAACAGCCATTTTACATTCTCCACCCCAAATTTATATGGCAGCTCTGGGATATCATTCAGGAGAACACCAAGGAAAAGATACAACCCAACCCTCCTTCTTCAGGTTTCATTGGTAGGTGTGCTTATTGGTAGATTTTTTCATTAGCTGCGTCTGTAGAGTATATGCTGAAGTTTAGCATGTGCGGCTTGACTGTGGTGGTAATGAAATTTAATTTGGAGATGGATGGAAGAAGGCATGCTGTTTAACAAATATGTACCATATATACTATTAAACGCACATGTCTTATGAACTTTCCAGGATTGTGTATCTGCAGGACTTGGGAGAAACAAAGCTTTGTCTAAAACCATTTATTACTAAAGTATACTCCAAAATTTATATAAGCAGTAGACACAGAATGCATTAACCAGGTCAAAGTCTACTACTATAACCAATATTCCAGCAGCAGGTTCTTTGTGGAGCTGGAGTTACAAAACAGTCTTCATTTTATGACCTGTACTGTACCAATGCCTTGAAAATGTCTCGTGTGTTCAGAATGTGAAACACTGATCAGAAGGAACTGTGCATTATCCTAAATCGTGCATGTGTGGCAAGGACTTGCTTGGGTTCAGTTGCGTTTAATTGGGGGTATGAATGGAATGTGTTGGCACAGCAAGGTGAAATTGTGACTTGTGACCTCATCCGACATCAGGGACACCACAGTGATAGGTGCAACAAAAGCCCAACAGGACACTTTGAATATACAAGCCATATTCAGAGGAACAAAAAGCAAACCTATGATAAGAACACATAATGGCTTTTACACACCTGCTTTTCCTAGCTCTTGGCTCTGAACTGCAGATTCTTTTTACAACTCTCTGGCCCTGGTCCAAATCTACATGGTAGAGCAGTGCATAAGTAGCTCCAATCAGATAACGCTGTTAAGCACAGAGGAACTAAACCTAGCTGTTCCCCCAGTGCCCCATCCGAAACAGTTGAGTGGCAATATTTGGAATATCTTAACTGGGGCAGCGTATTGTACAGTGGTGCCCCGCAAGACGAATGCCTCGCAAGACGGAAAACCCGCAAGACGAAAGGGTTTTCCGTTTGCGAGTTGCTTCGCAAGACGAATTTCCCTATGGGCTTGCTTCGCAAGAAGAAAGCCCATAGGGAAATCTCCGGGGACCTCTTTTAAATGCTGGCGGTGGGGAGCAAAGCCTTTCCCCCCCCCTCCGGCCTTCAGAAGAGGTCCAGGAAGGCCGGCGGGGGCCGAAAGGCTTTGCTCCCCACCACCAGCATTTTAAAAGCAGTCCGGGATAGCAGGGAAGCGCTTCCCGCTATCGCGGACGGCTTTTGAAGGCAGGCGGGGGGGAGCAAAGACTTTCGCCCCCCGCCGGCCTTCAGAAGAGGTCCAGTCCTCCGCTGTCCCGGGGTTTTTTAAAATGCTGGGGGTGGGAAGAAAAGCCCTTGTCCCCCCCCCCAGCCTTCAGAAGAGGTCGGGGGACAGACTGTCCCCGGACCTGGTCTGAAGGCGGTTTCCATAGGAACGCATTAATTGATTTTCAATGCATTCCTATGGGAAACCGTGCTTCACAAGACGAAAAACTCGCAAGAAGAAAAAACTTGCGGAACGAATTAATTTCGTCTTGCGAGGCACCACTGTATAGGAGAAGCGAGCATGCAACAGTTGTATCTGCCCCTGATGCAGATCCCGAGCTGGATGGAGAGTTGAGTATAAAAGGGAGATAGACGCAGGAATGAGACTTAACGAAAAATAAAGGTAAAAACTGAAAGCAAACATTTGATGCTTATGTCACCACTGAATATGAGACATACACCACATCAATAACCAGATAACCATGTAATGGGCTTGAAAGTGGAAATTGTATAACTGTTTATTTGAGAGATGAGTGTCGAGGGCAGAGTCATACATCAGCATCTGATGCTATCAGTCAGCATAAATGTTTCAGGGATGAATTTTTCAGTGTGACTATACATCACCAAATCTCACAGAAGATTGCTGATTCAAGCTAATGCTGACGGACTGGAATAACTGATGTTGTGAATGCCAAGGGATGTAAATTAGAGAAGATTCTGCTGGGTTATTTGCAATACTAAAACCTTACATTTATGAACGAATATTCTCGGTGGCAAATTTCGGCATAAAAGAATGAAATAAATGAGGACTTGTCATAATGTGACAGACCTTTATTTTCAACAATACACACACACACACACAGAGAGAGAGAGAGAGAGAGAGAGAGAGAGAGAGAGAGAGAAGGATGTTAAAACTGACTTGTTTTCAAATGAGCTTGAAACTGCCTTTTTGTTAAAAGGCGGCGGGGGGGATCATTATTTCTTGTGGATGAAATAAAAATAAAAGTTCAGCCCATGTCCTAATTCACTGGATAGCTCAGGCTCATTCACATCCGTGGTCTAGATAGCAAAACTCAGTTTGAACTGCAAGGCATGTGATGCTTAGTGGACACCGTGCTTATCTCTAGTCAGGACCAGAAATGCTAATACCTGGACTTGAAAAGTGAAAGCAGGTCATAGAAGCCAATGTCGGAAACACTGGGATTGTGGGAGCTGGCCACATCTCTTCTTATAAAACAGGGATAGGTTTTGAGGAGAAGCTTTTCAGATGGCTAGGAGGTGACAAGTAGGAATGAGGAACGATATGCCACTGTGCACTCTTTACTTGTTTGTCCACACGCCCAGAGTGTGTGAAGTGTGTAGAGCCAGAGGAGGACTGATGTATCACCAGATGCCCAAGTTACATCCTGCACAGAGGCGCTCTCATAAAGCCATGGAGCTCATTCGCAAAGTCTTACTGTGTGAAACACTCCAAAACGCTTACGCTTCCCCATCTCACTTTTTTAAAGCACTGATGAGGACGAGTCATTTTGCAGCAACATGGTCCATACCCTGTTCCCTTCTCCATTTTACTCCCATGGTCATAGGTCCAGATTTGCTCAAGTGTACATCTTATTGTATTTTTTATTTCTGGCATTTGTATGCTACCCTGTAGCAAAAAGCTTTTAAGGCAGTTTACAAAAACAAAGTGGTTTTTTGTTTGTGTGAAATGTGTTTGAAATAGGTCGATGTTTTCCCATCCTTCCCATCCCATCTGTGTTTGAGCCTTATGTTAAATGGTTGCTAATGGAAGTGCAAACTCAAAATAAGCTTTGGCAGCTGCTTTTTCCTCTGACTGTTTGGAATTTAGGACTAAATTCTGTTTGCGTGTTCACCTTTTGATCTCTCATAACTTTTAGAAGTATTGGTTTTGGCAGCCGATACAAGAGAGAGATAGATGTTCTCTCTGTGACAGCTAATTGGTAAAGAAAGCTACTTTATATGTGCAATTCATTATCACACAAATACACTCACATTGACCTGATATTACGATCAATAAGCGTTGAACATACATGTGTGAACTGGCTTTCATGTCACTAGATTGTGTGCTAGTCAATCCATCCGTTGGTAGGCCTCTAACTAATGAATGTTTCAATGCTTTCAACTCTTTCAGTTTTCTAGCTTTGCCATAAATTATCACTGCAGCACACATTTTAAAGTAAAGATGAACTCAGTTTGAAAATAGGAGAATCTGCATCTGTACTGCAATGACATTTCTCCAAAGGCCACTCAGGGTCCTTCTCACATCTGCACAAACATCTGCCAGGCAGGCATTTCCACCACACCTGACACATTAACATCTCTGCTTGATTTATAACCTGCTAGTAGCTTATCAGACCCAATCTCAGTGCTCAGAAATTAACATAATGCTTGCCCCAACACCTGTTAGAAGTGTTATGACTAAGAAGGATTGGGAAGCAATTTGGCTTTAGGAAAGCAAAATATGTGTTAACTAACCACAAAATATTTTATTGAATTCCTGTTAAAGGGTTCCAGAGGTAACGTGACATAACAAAAATACAACAGAGCTTCTTGGTAGCACTATATCTGCTCCCTGTTTGTGCAAGAACGGACATGATGGAACAAGCACTACTATTATGAAATAGCTATGTAAGACTGCTGTGTGTACACACACAAGCACACAGAGAGAAAACCCCACATAGATATGAAAATAGATTTAAGCACCAGAAGCAGGTGTAGGCTTGAGAATCACAAGCCATGCTTAAAACAGAGCTGTAGTCAGGTGGCATAATATAAACGTTTGTGCACGTAATGGACTTAGATGGAATAGTGTTTGAATCAGTGGTGGGAACCGAGATACAGATGATGCTAACAAACTTTTATTAGTGTGTGTGTGTGTGTGCGCACACACATACATACCCACAAAAACGCTCTCCTCAAACAAGCTTAGAAAATATCAAGATCTGAAAACTTTCAGGGCTACTTTCTCTTCTAGGAATTAGGGAATGAGCTATGTGCTCCAAGGATGTTTCACTGTGTGCATGAAGAACCGCTGGCTCAGAGAAGGGGGCAGTATGGAGAAGTCAGAGAAATGCTATTGGGTGACAGGGAGAAGGCAGAATTGCTCAACACCTACTTTGCCTCTGTCTTCACCCAAAAGGAAAGCAGTGCCCAACCTGGCGATAACAGAACAATGCAAGGAGGGAGCTGCAGCCTAACATAGCAAAAGAGGTGGTAAGGGAACACCTAGCCACTTTAAATGAATTCAGATCTTCAGGGCCTGATAAGCTGCACCCAAGGGTACTAAAGGCGCTTGCTAATGAAATCTCAGAGCCTCTTTCTATAATCTCTGAGAATTCTTGGAGAACAGGTGAGGCCCCTGAAGACTGGAGGCAGGCAAATGTCCCGATCTTCAGAAGAAGGGGGAAAAGAAAACCCAGGTGTAAACTACTGGAACCAATGGATCCAAGTTACAAGGTTCCAACTAAACCTCAGGAAGAACTTGCCAACAGTAGGAGCTGCTCAACAGTGGAACAGACTACAAGAAGTAGTGCACTCTTCTTGGAAGTTTTAAAGCAGAGGTTGGATGGCCATCTGTCATGGATGATTTAGTTGGGATTCCTGCATTTCAGGAGACTGGACTGGACTGAACTAGACTACCCTCAGGGTCCATGTCGACTCTACAAGTCTGTGATAGCATGTTTAGAACATCATTTTTGCACAAAAGATCTGCTGCAAAATGGCAAATTAGTGTGGTC